CTCTCTCTCTCTCTCTCTCTCTCTCTCTCTCTCTCTCTCTCTCTCTCTCTCTCTCTCTCTCTCTCGCTCTCTCTCCCTCTCACCGCTCGGGATCATTCTGCAGCGGTGACACACCGACACACCCGCCCACTTTTACGATCTTTTTACTTCGTTTCAATCCGACTGCTGATTTACGATTTACGTTGGGTTCAGGGCGTCGTTGCGTCGCACCATCCCGCTGTGCCCATGAAGAGCGGCAGGCCGTCCCGGGCGGCAGTCCGTCCCACTGCCGGACTCCTCGCTCTGTGTCCCTTGCACTCTGGGAGTGCGCCGAAGGAGAGTAAGAGAGACAGAGCGACAACTGCACGCAGCGGAGCCGCGAGCGGAGCGCAGGCTTTTCTGAGAGGGTGGGGGGACAGCTTCCCACATTCATTGTACCAAATTTGACCACATTCCTCATTCAGGTAGCAAAAACGCCTGTAAGTAGGCAACATGTGTGGCGAAAACGACAGAAATCTTGCACATTCTTGCTCATTCACACAACCATTGTACACAAAATTTTACAGTGGGTCACACCTCGGGTTTTTTCCTTTTCTGGAACGTACCCGGACGCAAAGTTCCATATTTCAACGCCTTCCCTTCTCTATTGTTCGGATGTCATCGCGGATGGCGATAAAACATTTGTTAGTCTAGAGCGGAAAGTGTGTGAATTTCATTAGCATTTCGATGAAATTTCAAAAGTGTTCATTGGAGGCATTTGACTGTAAGCATTCAATTTCTATGAACCATTTTCGTTTCCAGTTGGTCCCTTAAATCCGTAGAGAGTCCAATCGAAAAATTTAATGAATTTCCACGTGCTAATTTTTTTTTGTGGGACCTTTATTCTTTTGCTAAGAGGGAATCAGAAAAAAGGAAGGCTGGAAGAGAACAGAGGGGGAGGGTTGGAAGCATTGAAGACAAGGGAGGGAATACGCGACGCTGTAAAGGATCCGCGCTGAATGGAATCCCTGCACACTGATTCCGAGAGTCGTTTTCGCCGCTCTGCCTCTCTCGCACCTGCACGGAACGCCCCATGAGTGCGAGAGAGACGGAGCGACGAAAACGACTCTCGGAATCAGGCTGCTGTGCGACGGCCCGCGGGGCGTATCTGCAGGCCTTTCTTTTGTACTCGTCTGGTACAATGCGTTGTACGGCTTGAACGTGGCGTGGCAGTGGCGTGGCGCGTCGCGGGGTCGCGCCACAAGGGCCATCACTGTCTTGTCGCGGCCTGGCCCATTGGCCTGGCCCATTGGCCTGCCGCGCCCTTAGGACCAGCCCTTTGTGTTTCCCAGGAAATATCGATAGAGCGAGTGTTTTCGGGAACCCAGTCAGGGGGTGGGTGGGGGACAAAAAGGGCGGGAAGAGAGGGGGGTAAGGGGCAGGACGACAAAGGCCCAAGAGGACTTGCTGAGGCCGAGAGAGAGAGAGAGAGAGAGAGAGAGAGAGAGAGAGAGAGAGAGAGAGAGAGAGAGAGAGAGAGAGAGAGAGAGAGAGACTCGCACCGTGCCCCCGCCTGCAGCGCTACACGCTACACACTGCTAGACCCACACCCCGCGCTGGTCTCCGCGGGCCCCTCGCCCTCGCCGCGGTGATCGCGAGACGGGCCAGAGGGGCCAGACAGCCACAGCCCAGGCCGGGCAAGCCCACGGAGAGGCGGCAGCTGAAATAGCCGCCGTGACGTCATAGTGTGGCCACGCCACGCGCGTGTACACTGTGACCGTGTAAACTTCGGCGAGGCCACGCATCGCCATGGCCCTCCCGCTCTCGCTTTGAATTCTCTCCCTAGAGTCATTCAACATCCTGAATTGTTGTGAGTCTCCCGTTACACTCCTGTAAACGGCGTGGCGCTGCCTGGGCGCTGCCTCCTGGCGAGAACCGCGTTGCCAACTCCGATCACGTGTGGTCTGACTTCCCCGCAGGTTGTGGCAGTGTTGCCTACCTATCAGGCGTCCTCCTCCTTGGTCCTTTGTATCGTTTCTTTCTTTCTTTCAGCCTATTGTTTCATTTTGCCTTTTGTTTCGCGGCTTGTGTAAGGTTGTAATTGGGAGGGCCAGGAAAAAAACGACAAGAGGCATTTCGAACTTTCATATATTTTATTTTTCATCTCAAGGCAAACACTGCGGCAGATGAGGAACAATTGGACACGTCCTCTTTAGATCCTTATTGTAGATTTGCAGCAACCAAGCTGTGGGGTTTCGACAGTTTCGACCAGGACCCCCCAGAGAGACAACCTGTGTGCCTTCTCACGAGTATCAAGAATGCCAATAATTGATAGTGAAGAAAAATATGTTTTTATATATTAAAATGTCTGTGCAATTTTTTTTTATGATAGTAACTCTTATCATACATAGACCACATATAACACATTTCAGAGTCTTTTTTCAAAAAACAAGTCGTCATTGGGAAAGATCAATTCACCCTTTAATGAGAAACAGGCAACTTTCTACTCCTGAAATGAAGGAGACCAAGACTACAAAGATGCAGAAGAGAAAGAAGTTTTAAAATGGGCGCATTGCTTCAATTTTACAGCCTATTTTAATAGAAAACACTTACAAAAATGTCAAAAGCTATTCCTCTTTTTCACGCTGACAAGAAAAATGATTGACTCCCAGTTCTAAGGCACTGGTAGCAAAGAAGGATTGGCCTGACGACGTGAAGTACAAAGAGCGTCAGTATGTGAATACTGTAAAAACCCATCCCAACTTAATTTTCTTAGAATCCAGTGATAAGCAGATACATAGAGGTTCGAGCTTCATGTTGACTAGAGGATAAAACTGAGATGAAGGGAAATTGACTCAAATAAATTGTTTGAATATTTTTCTTTAGAAAACCTGTTTTGGTTACTACTGATGCTTACATTTCACCATAAGACTAAAATTAATCATAAAATTGAAGGGAATGCTAAAGCAATTTATAACCTTGTCAGTCAGCAGTCAGGATACATGCAATCTGGCATGCAATATGCAGACGCACGACACCTATAGTGACTTTGGTATGCACCAAGTTATCTAGAGACATTTAAATTAAGCCACTACACAAAAATCTTTCAAGCAGAAATAAGCAAATGAGGTAGGGCTTTCTTACAAATTCCTTCTACAGAAATCTGCTTTTAATGTGACTTTATCTTAACTGTAAATATTCCTATTCTCAGTAAATTTGTCTACTTTTGGCTTTATTTGGAAAGTTTTTTAAATTGATGGAGAGCTACCACTCAAATGCAGCTTTGAGTTAAAAGCTAACAGCAATTTCAGAACATTAAAGGAACAGAAAAGTTTGGTGACAAGTCTGCAAGAATCTGGAATCTTCTCTTGTGAATTTCCAAATTAAAATGAAAGATTTCCCCCCAAGCATCTGTGTTGAGCATTGTTCACGTTCACAAACCACAAGCCAGTTCTCCAACAAGGTACCCTGACTTCATTTGGCATATTTAGGCAGTGAATGTTATGCTAATCCATGAAGACTTCACTGCGAGCTTCACTGTGTGGGGATTCAAACAGAAGCAGGGTGAAAAGGAAGTTGGATGGGATTTTCAATAGGCTGCCATCTCGATTTCATCTGCCATGGCCTTGTATCGGGCACGTTCTTTCATCAGCTCCTCTGTAACAGTTACACAGTTGTTAGTGTTGTTAGCTAGGGATGGATTTGTCCAATTAGTACAATGTTAAAAAATTTAGAAGATAAGACAGTTAAAATATTAGCATTTTGGTTAGTGGGAGTGAGTTTAGAAAAGGATGTCTAGTTGTTGATCTGATTTCTCCGACCTATTGGTTGGGGATCCAAGGGTAAGAAGCTACCCTGTAGAACTTTCACAATGTCCAAATCAATTTTCTAGACTCTCTACTTGATAAACCTCTAAAATAGGAAATGTTAATTCTCCAAGCCCCAGTGACAAAACTTTTCATCGTTAATAAAGGTGTATGGGTTTGTGTCTCTACAAAAGCAGTCAAAACTACGAAAAAAGATACAGAAACACAATTGAACTACTTTACATGAACTACTAAAGCAAAGAGCATGCTTGGAATTGATGTTTCGGATGCATAAGCAACGGGGTGCACAACTGGGCTTTTACCTCAGCTAGAGATGACATTTTCACTGGAGATACAGGAACAACTGCAACTTTGAGTCTACTGATTTTGAAAAGAATGTGGCAATATAAAGCGAATGTGTGTGTGTGGTCCTGGTGTCAAGTGAAGCAGGATGTTCATCACCGCTACCCAAGTCATTCTGATCAGGTGGCGTCGGCAGCCCTGCTGGACTCGAGCGATGTCCTAGTCTTCTGGGAGCACGGATTAGGAGGCAACGTAGGAAAGGAAGAGAGTTACTGACCACTCCATTTATTTAATTCCCCATCCGTTAGCTAGCTACAGCTCTTCACAACATTATTGTCAATACAATAGACCTGAAATTCTGCAAATTAAATTTGCCTGACACTTCTTTACCTTTGCTTCCTTGTCGGGAAACTGAAAGAAATACAATTTGTATAATCTTAAAGAAAAAAAAAGTTTAAATTACATTGTGCACAGTGCTGGGCAGCAGAAAGGAAATTAAATAAATGATAATGGTTAATAAAAAGGATTAAATGAAAAAAAACAATAATAAATAAAACTGAGGATGTTTTGGAAGTATATACTGCACCAATTTTTAAAATACTTCTTTTTTCACATGGTACAAAGCTTGACTTACATTAAGTGTACATAAAGTTTCTTGAGATGAGTGGAAGTACTAAATAACTTTAACAAAAATATTTTACACAGTATAATGAAGACAGATTAAATAGATCCCATTTTTTTTGTAATCGATAAGTCAGTGATTGGGGCAGATTTCAAGATGACTTTTGAAAGGTGGATGCACTTAGCCAACCAATTCAGAGAAGGTCTGGTCCAGGTCATCACAAATGTACTTGTACTTCTCCTTCTCGTGGACCAGCTCATCTGCAGGGCGCAGGCAACACATACATTAGACCAATAACGCATGACAATCAATAAATAAACAAAAAATAAAATTTAATTTCAAAATATATATAAAAAAGAATTGTCATTAAGGTTGTTCAGTTACAGTTGAAAAGTTCCCACATACGGACTAAACTTTAAAGGTTATGAATCCGTAAGATAAATTATGTATAAATACAGGGAAAATGTACAGAAGGAACTGGCTAAAACTTCAATTAATGAATCAATATTTTCAAAACGATAACAATTCATGAGAGGAATGAGTTTATAACTGTACAATAACAAGCTAGCAAATCAGTTCTCCTCCAGATACTTGTGAAACAATTGATCTGCATGATGAATTACTTCTGTTTTTTTCCTCTCCAGATACATGTTAAAAACTGTCCAGCTGACTAATCTCCCATCCGATTCCTGATTCTATCTTCCAATGTTAAAAGTTAAAAGTAAGCAGAAGCATGAATAAGCATATCACTCATTAATTACTATTCTTAAAATAGCAAAGTCTGCAGCGATCTTGCGGAAACTGCTCTGCTTAGTCTCTTTCGCAAACAAAGTGAATTGACTCAAGTTACTTCATTTCTCTGATCATGATAAGCGTACATCCAATCAAAAAATTTCCCAAAGTCTAACCCTAAAAGTAGAGGCAACTTGAGCGACCTAAGAACTCCTTCAAGGGATATTATCCTTGAAACCTTAGCAAGAGGCAAAACGCAGAATTAACTTTAGATTTCATTTGATATTCAACATTCATAACAGAAATGAGGTGATATTTCTGATACTCATAAAATAAAATCTTTTTCTTAAGAAATAGGTGTATCAGCTTCCTCTGGAAGCCACACAGGTTGGAAGAGCATAAATTTTGAGAATCAGATAACACAAAGTAAATACCTAGCAAACAAAAGCTGTGATGGCAGAAAGTTAGATTAAGCTAACAATCAATAAGACAAAGAAAAAACAAGCAATTTCATAACAAAACAAAAAAAGAAAGAAAAGAACGAAGTGGTGATTGCACTGTACACAACTATGACAAGTCCATCTGTTACTCTGGAGAGAGGCTCTCAGAATTAACAGCAGTGTATGGTGAGGATGAAAGGGCGAGTTGTGATGGCACGCACGCTCGTAGCCTAACGTTAGAAATCATACAATTCTACGAAGGCTAGGTCCAAACCATCTCCAATTTCCTTGTATTTCTCCTTTTCAGCAACAATTTCATCTGAAAGCCAAATATAAAGCGCTGTTAGCTAATGTAGGGTTTTAGGAGATGTCTAAGATTTCCATTCATAACAGTTGCCTGCATGATTAAATCAAAAGCCAACAATGCCGGTCTAATGTGGCATTGTTCCTAAAATCATGTTTAAAAACAGATTACAAGAAGCAAGGAAATTTCACTGAACCATTCTTTACTTCACATATGAATAGAAATCTTAGAAAAATTGATGGTACAGAGGAAAGCAAGTCGCATAGAAGGATAAGGCCTGCTTGTGTACTGTTTAACTAAGAAAATGAAAGTAAACGGTCATGGGTTCTAAAAAGATTCAGTACATTTGTAAATTTGGTAAAAGTCTAAAGAAATCAACCCAAATAATAACAGAAGCCCCGGTATTGCAGTTTCACTTAAATGAAAAAAAAAAGTCTCTGGCTGATTTAAAACTATGACTAGGCAAGAGAGCCTTTTTAAAAGTGGATCAAGAAAAACAAAGAATGATTGTTTTTTTCCCCTTTAATAACATACTGAACACACAGCCCTAAAAACAAATTTTACATCTTCAAGATGAGATAACTAAACGAATATCAATTTACAACTTAGTGCATAGTAACAATACAAACAATTATCTGATTTATGAACTGAACACAAATAGGCCATCAATAAATTTTTATAATGTGTTAATCTTATGACTATAGCCAGCCATAAAAAGCCACCACACACAAGCTGAAACACTTCAATTGCTAACAATTTTGATGTGGCATTTGTTATTTTATCACAAAATGTGGCAAAGGAATCATCTATTATAACCACCTACAGGCATTTAATTGCACCTTTCACTAACGCAATGGTCCAATTAATGTCAGACTTAATATACGGTGCTGCCGATGGTAAATTCAGTATGCCAGCCTTATTAAGTTCTAGGGAATACGTATGTGTAGCAACAGAAAGTTAATACTGGGATGCCAAGCAATAGGGAAGTCCAAATCAATCACAAACTTGTGACCTAAAGTTAATAATTAAGTAACCATCATATCATTCAAAATAGTCTGTTTCACAAATTTCATAATGCAAACTGTGGCAACAGCCTGAAATTAGATGCTTAAAGCTCAATACTACATATCAAGAGTAGCATGTGACAAAATCTTCACAACAAGCAGGAGAGGGATGACCTCATAATTTAACCCACTGGCAGATGACTTTTTTTCTTTAAATTCCAAAGATCAAACTGAGGAGAAAAAGAAAAATCCCAAATCTCCAACTTTATTTTGATATGCCTTATCTGCAAAATATTTGCATTCCACAAAGGCAATGGCATTATGTACACATGTAAATTTTAAAAATATATATTAAAAAAAAAAGTTAAAAAAATCAAACCTACAACACAATGTGCATGCGGGTGCACAAGGGGGGTGCGGCAGGAGCAGGTTACATGTTTTGAATGTCATGCAGGGTGGCTTCCATCTCTTCTTGAAGCAGTTTGTTCTTCTCTTTCTCGGAAACCAGGTCATCTGAAAACACATTGTCATCAGCACAAAGCTCACACAACACCACTAGCAAAACCACACATGTATTGTACACACACACACACTCTTTTCATTTTAATTGAAAAGAAAAAAAAAGTTGCAAATAAGTGAGGAAAATAGCAAAGAAAACAAAACTAGTAAACAGCAAACACAAAATATAGCAAAACTCAAAGACTGCTTGCTCAATATATATTGCAAAGTACATGCAAAATTTTGTTCATATTTTGTTTGTTTGTAAACAGCACTTCAACATGCAACGGGGCCAAACTTATGGTAGGGTTTTTTTAAGCTAATGTTAGAATTCAATGTTGGTGCTTATTGGAATGATATTTATCTGTGTCGACGGCTACATCTTTACACGTAAAAGGTATAGGAGCAATAATAAAGCACAGTACTGAGGTTGGGTTCATTGTTAAAACAAAGGGCACTGTTTGTCAGAGCAGCACATTGTTATTGCTTTGCCACACAATATAAAAAAAGGAACCGGAGAAATACCCTGTCAGTACTCAGGTGCTGGTCTATTAACCAAATGTAGAAGTTCCTATACCTAACCTAGTTTATCTCACATGACCCAAATATGCATAATCATTTTGTATCGTAACATTGATAATAAAATAAATTATCATGAATAAAACATAATGACAATAAATAAATAAATGTTTTGATTGATTAAAACTAACTCCTTTGAGAGAGCGATACATACCTTCAAGCCTGTCAACCTCCTTCTGCAGCTTCTGCACAGACCGCTCAGCAAACTCAGCCCTTGCCTCAGCCTGCAAGACAAAATCACGTTAGGCAAGGTCCTGTACAGACACCATGTTAAGTTAATGTATTCAAATATGTGAAAGAAACAGAAGAACTGGCTAAACTTTTATGCTGCTGCTCATTATACAAGAATAATGTTGAGTGTTTCATCCAAAGGATACAAACAGCCAACAAGCAGTTAGACCTTAAGCCAGTCTTTCTTTTTCTTAATTTCACAACATTAATAATCAATTAAACTGTAGCTAGCTAGTAGTTTAATAAGCATGCATAAAGGTGGTTTATGGGATAAGGGGATTGGAAAGGAGGGGAGGGCAGCTTCACAGTTGCAAGCACCTTAATAGATTGCACAGTGTTCTCAAATCATGAGTAACCGATCCAGAGCCAAAGCATTTCAAAACAACAATGAAATCTGATTGAGCAAATGATAAACTTTCATTGGGAGGAATCATTGAAATTGGTTGGATGGAATAATGACTACATCTGATAACAATTTTTTGATGAACAAATGTCCAGGAAAAAAGAATGCAACAGCTTCCGTGCATACATAAATTTTTAAAAAAGGGGAAAAAAAGCAATTTTAGCAGTGTGACCAAGGCTTTTACATGCATGTGGGTAAGAACAAGCTACTTCAAACAAGTAGTCAGAGAAACAGCTTTGAGATGGTAGACAGGGCCAGCTAAACAACACTGATTAATTTGAGTGACTTCATAACATTTCAACTGAAAACAGATAAAGGTTGACACCTTTTTAATGAAATTGGTATGTCCTATACAGGAAGGCAATCAAAATTTGTGTGCAAGGAGGATCAATTTTCGATCAGTTTACCAAGCTCCTCCCCACTTAAGAGTATAGAATGGATAAAAAGAGTAAATTCCACCTCCTTTTTGCTGTATACAGAGGCAAGCCTGAACTTTATATGATAACTTTTCTATATTTGTACCAATAAGACCTGTACTTACTTCCTTCAATTTATCGGATATCAATTGAATTTTGTCCTCGCAAATCTCATTGGTGGCAGTGGCCTATTATGTGACAACAATCATGGAACAAAATACAAACACGAGTTTTAGTGTCAAACAAAAAGAGAAAAAAGCAGTAGCCGGGTTGAACAGGGCCATGCAGAAGAGCGGGCACAAAATCAAAACAGGAAGCATTGTTGGAACAGCTAAACCGCATGGCACTGAAACAAAATGTGTTAAAAGTGGGCAATCACAGCAACCTGCAAATGTGAAGCTGCCAAGACACTGAAACACGCAAAACCCATGCAGGTCAGGTTAGGTCCTCAGTGACTTGGAAAGGGGTACCACTTGGGGAAGGGATGGGAAACAAACAAGGGAGGGAACAAGGGGCAAGGAGCACACAAGACGGTACCTCCTTTAGCCGGGTGGTCAGGGTCTTAATTTGCTGCTTGTACTCCTCCTCCCGCTGGTTGGCCTGTCAATTCATTCAATACACTTAATATACAACGTAATCTTGAAGAAAGGGACCAGGATGACGCTAAGAAAGCCAATTATTGTAAAATAAAGTAAATAAATAGGGGGGAAAAAAAACAGAAAACATACACAGTACACTGGAATTACATGGCTTCACCTTAAAAGCAGTCATGTAGATTGAGCACAATTGCACTTAATCAATCCAAAGTTTTCAATAAATAACGGAGAGATATTACTTTGAATGAATTAAATGGAAAGTAGAGTATCTTACCTTCTCCTCTGAAACTTCCAGGGACTTCAGGTTGTTGCCGACAACACGCAGCTCCTCTTCAAGCTCCACAATTTTCCTGCAAACACAAACATGTTTACATTAGCAGCATCCTCAAGGATGTTAGAAAGTTAGTAAAAGTTGAATTTATTATAAAAAAATGGCAAATACATGTAGATAAATCTTAAGTTTAAAAAATTTAATAAGAAATAAAAATTTTTCATAAAAAAGTAAATGAACAATGCCAATTATTGTGTAGCTGCTAACTAAGAGAAGATTTTAAAGAAAGCTTCCAACATAAGTTGGATTATAACAAAATTAGCACACAAAACTACTCAGCACGCATAGCCAAGCACAGTCAATTGAATGACCAGTACTTCTATCTTATCATCGCTTTGATTTTTATTGTGATCATGCATTAACTGTGTGTGACTTACGAGTCTCCGAGCTCTGCTCGTTCCTCAGCTCTTTCCAGGTCCTGCTCCATCATCACGAGTTTACGAGCAACCTGAAGAAGCGACACACATGTGATTCACGCCGTGCAAGACAGACATACATGCACTACAATGAGCGGTGCAAAGCAAGCTCGACCCATATTTATTGCCTCATTTTCATCTTTGAATTAAAATGTCTTTAGAGAAAAACTTGACTGAAAAAGTTCAGCACTAAAGACAGACACAATTAGAAAAGTGAGGTACAGGTCACTGTGCAGCTGCATTTGCCCAACAGTGCTGCAAATGGAAACCTGCGTTAATTGTTAGAAACATCTCCACTGACACACTGTTATTTTTCACTCACATAAGTTTGTAGAAAGCAAGAACTGCACATAAGTCACAAATCATCAAGTCCTTAAATAAATATTGGAATAAACCAGTGACATCTTTCAGAAGCACAATCATTTTACTGAAGAAAACAACACTGATGGCAATTGTTTGTAATATTGCTACTAGTTGATATACCGGTAGTTACAAGTAAATGTACAGCAGCTCTTACTAACTACTTGAAAGTATGTGACAACAACAAACTGAAGTGATGGCAATATGTGAGCAGCACATACTCCCATGCACATGGTGGCATTTAATAAAGATAGGCTGCGGTTATCCAAAAAAACAGGCGAGGTGCTAGGGGTTGACACTCCGCTGAGGGCATGCAAACAAACAACAACACAACAAGACTCTTACGCCTCTCCTGCCTCAGCACGCTCTTCCGCACGCTCCAGGTCAGCCTCAACCATGGCCAGCTTACGGGCAACCTGCAGAACAAGTTTCTCTTCATTTCTGACCTTTAGATGTGCTTTCATTCTTTGGAAATGACCAACTATTAAAACCACTAGGAAATTGTTGGGGAATATAGACACGTCACCTGTTTAACTGTATGATCTTTTGAAATCATTTGCTTTGAAAGCCTTAAAGGACGGATGGTCAGATATGAGACCAATATTCACCCAAAAATAATTCTTTTAACTCCCTTTCTTAATTTATTGAATCCATAAAGAGTAATAATGTTATTCCATACAACAATGGATAAAAATTGGACATAAGTGTTACTTTGCTACTTAAAATAAAAAATTTCTTACATTCTTAACAAATTGCAAAACATTATTGAATAAAGCACCACACTCAGACACAAAACCTTCAACAGACAGCTGTGGGATGTATACCAAGCATCCAGCTGCACAAGCTAAGATTCACATGACAAGACATAAATGGGGTAGGTCATTGTTAAATGTGGATAAAAAACACACAAAATCCAGGCAAGCCCTGTTATTTGGTTTCACTTAACCTAGTTCATGAATTGTGGGGAAAAAAAGTCTTTAGAACTTTAAGGAAGACACCACAGGTAAAAACCCCACATAACTTCGTAATTATCTCTACAAAACAAATTGACTAGGGCTTCTTACTAGAGGCGTGTCATGTACTAAATACAAATTTATGTAAGAGGATAGAAATGGTAAAGTTAAGAGCTTCACGCCTCCTACAAAGTAATTCTGAAGCAGCAAAGCTCAATGAAAATGCTAGTCATTTTCTAGTAACATAATACACTTGCTAACCTTCAACCCTGTTCTTGAATTTTGAAGTACCCACTAAAGCTTTGCTTATATTTAATCAATCATGAACTTGGCTGCAGAACCATACTCCCTCCAGCCAAGGACAGTTTACAGTCTGCTCCAAAGGGGGAGCCAATTGTAAGTGTTAGTAACTCAAAACATGCACTTACACAGAATCCCAAAGTTTCTAGACAAAATAAAAGTACCTATTATTAAAAATAGATTCAGAAATATACTGATGGACCAACAGTTTAATCTGGCCATGCACAGAGCTACATGGGGTTGGATGCCAGCTACTTTATGTAAGAGCTGAAGGCAAAATAGAAATCAATGCTCAAAGGATTCCTCATTCAAAACAGTGGGATGATGCCCGATCACCATGGAACGAAGTGTTGGAAATTGCTTGGGAGATTATAGCACAATCAAATTAATCAGTATCAAGCTGCCATACTCAATGACAAAATTGGTTACGTACTCAACAGTGACGTTGCCACTGATAAAGGAGCCACCACGAAGTAAAAGCATGCTAAAGGTCTATGTTTTTAAATACTTTTTTAAAGTTACTGTTCCATTGCATCAACATCAAGTAAATTGATGGACTATCTTCCAGTCACAACAAAATACCCTCCCACATTTTCCCAATATTTTTGAAAACTCCTCACTCTTCACTGAACACATTGTTGAAAACTAACACTTGGAACACTGGAAATTCATCACTTTCTAACGCTTTCACTTTTTTTGGAGAGCACTCGCAAGATATCACTTTTCTTCACAACACTGAAATTTATCACTTCCTAGTAGTGGAGCACTACACATTTCTGCACACTGATTTTATAACACTTGTGCAAATAGGCACATTTGGCACAAAAAGCACTCATGAAGTGCTGGGAAATGGCACTGAGCATGTTAGCCATGCTTTGACTTTAACACACAAATCACGCACTAATCACTTTTGAAAAGGGACGATGACGTAGAGAGAATAAGTTTTCCATGGTGTTCGGTCTGTTAAAATACAAAACAAACAGAAAAAAACCAAAAACAAAATTATCAGTCAAAGAGCAAAAGAATGCAATGTTATCTGCTTTACATGTCCATACAACTTATGAAAATAAAATTGAAGTTGGAGGTGGGAAAGAACACTGATAAGTTTGGCATAAGGCGTACACACATGCCAGACCAAAAGCTAATGAGAAATCACCTCATCATATTTCTTATCAGCCTCCTCAGCCATGAACCTGGCTTCCTTCAGCTGATTTTCCAGGGCATCCATTCGCTCTTCATCTGCCAAGCTGCGGTTTTCCAGGATCTTGCGTGCACTGTGGGAGACCATTGTTGCTACTACCATTAGAATCAAGAAATCATCAGGAAGACACACCATGTGGTAGGTTGGCGTGGTTTTGATAGTCATGAGAACCAGTACAAAATATTATCAATCACATGTTGTACTTCACAACATTATTCAAAAAGAGCATTTGTCTGTTTACTTCATGACTGCCATACAAAACAGGATGTACATGACAGGAAAAGGAACAGCCCTTCCCCCTCCCTTTAAAAATAATTTAAAAAAAAAAAAAATAAGTTGATTACAGTGTGGATCAATTTTATGTGAAATTAGAAAGGATAAGAGGGTCTGTTCCATTTCTCAACCTCTGGTCATGCACACCACAATAAAACACACCACAGCCAACCACCGACATGGGCACCATAGCAGCCATGAAGACAGCGGCAACTCGGACAGCGACTTCTCCATCTGAAATGCAATGCACAGTTATTATGACCCTCCCTTACCTCTTCGTATTTTTTATCTGCCTCTTCGGCAATCTGCTTGGCCTGTGCTAACTGGGACTCAAGGATAGCCACTCGGTCATCCTCCATGTTTGTCCTGTTCTCGAGCGCCTTCCGTATCCTAAAAACCACACGGTAAATGGGTTAGAGCAGATAACAAAATGAAGTTAAAATGACTATGCAAAATGTTAGTCGCACAAAAAGGGGAACACAAACAAACAAACAAGTGTTTGGTTTACATTTGGAAATAAAGAAAACCCACCCTACAACATGAACTAGAACTATACTGAATTATTTTGACTGGGACAGATATTAGAAGAAGTCAGGGAATCAAAATCAGATCCTTGGTATATATATCCTTAATTACACCCAATTATGACTTGAATGGAATCCATATAGCCAAGGCTGTTTTGAAATTCTAAGCAAAAATTAGGACCTAAAACCAATTTAAATATGCTTAGACAACAAATTAACAGGAGGCATGCTAGGATATGTTAAATTTTAGCTGACTGAAAATTCTTTAAGAGAAACCACTTTCCCTAGAAAAGCTAACACATTCATACAAGTGGAGCCTGGGCAATGAAGTCACAATCCTTTCATGCAATAGAGCTAGACTCAAATTTACTGATTTCTTTCCTCTCCCTGAATGAAGGCGAAACACTTCAATAAAGCAAGCGTCACAAGTCAAAACACCCTTTGAGAAAACATGAGCCATTGATGGCAAATTTTAATTCGCACGGAAGGAACAACTGATCTGCACTGCACAGGTAATCCAGTGGGTTCAGGCTTTACACTACGCCATGATTCACGATTTTAGTACCTTCAAGACTCCACTAGCACAGCAGCTAGGAACAAATTGAAGTTCCAAAGGCAGGCGCCGAGTAGGAAAAGATTCCCGGCCCAAACCGAATGGGGAGACAACACCACCCAACACAATACAACTCATTTAGAGCAAAATCAAATCTCACAGTCATTCAATGAATCAATCCTTGGATCAATCCTAACACAGAGACGCTGCTCCTTCCATTACAACATTACAACTGTCAAAATCTGTTCAGTATTAATGAGCAGATTAATATGTTCCATAGAAAGACGAGTAAGACAAACAAACAAGGGAGAAAATGTTTACGTTAGCCCCAAACTATTCTCTGGTAGAGACTTTCATTCTGGAGGCCTCAACCCAACTGCCAATTTCAATAGGGCAGTTTCAAACTTTATTGGGTGAAAAAAAAAACAAAAAGAGGAAACTCACAGACTGTTTGCAGTTGATGCAAACTATCAAACCCAGCCGATTCACCTAAACCTTAAGTACGTAAATACTTAACAATTGAGGAATGAACTTTCAATCTGCGGTTCCCCCTTCAACTTCGACACCCACCGTTCGGACTCATCGGCGGCCTGGGAAGCCTCCGCCAGCTTGGAGGTGGCGGTGGCTAGTCGCTCCTCAGAGCGCTCCAGGTCCTCCTCCAAGAGCTGGATGCGACGGTTCAGGGCGGCGACCTCGCTCTCGGCCTGGAACAGGGAGGAGAGATTCGTCAGACACGGCACAGGCACACTGTAAAAAATCCGTACTTTTGTACGGAAATGGTACAGAAAAATATAGTACGGAGGTACGGAGAAAAGTACGGAGCGTTCCGTACTTGCTCCATATGAACCCATGTAAATGGGCACGGAAAAAAAGTACGGAAGTTCCGTAGTTGGCAAGTACGGACGTTCCAGGCAAATTATTGACCAGACATGTTCCGTACTTTTTTCTCACAGTGCAGCCAGTGGCAAAAGAGTCTCTCAAACAATTTGTGTATCAATCGGATAACGGTCAGAAGAAGCACAGTGGGCCAGAAGACCCGTGGCGGCAGCCATATTTCTAAACGCGTTTTGAGATCCAGAGAAGCTAAACGGGACTCGAACCGAACGTGTGATTGCTCTCCGAACGAGGAATCCATTGGTGGGGTCACGCGTTCGGTTAGGTGATTCTGGCGCTCAAACCGCGTCGAGAATTTTGGCCGCCTCCATCACCGTGCGAGGGCGAGCAGCCCCCGGATCCGGTCCCTCCCCCTCCCCCTCTTCCGGAGACGAATGCAGCCCGGCGCAGCACGCATGTCCGCCGCCACTGCAGTGGTGGCAAATGCGGACGACGCAGTAATTACAAAGTGCGAGAGAGACAGGTGCGGCGCGCGGACAAAAACGCTTGACAGTTTACACTGTGGCCCCCCCTCCCCTCCCTCTCTAACGCCCACCCTGCCGCGCCCGGGGCATGCCAGGGCAAGGCATATCAGCGAGCCAGGACTGCGTAACGGCCTGCCAGATAGATAGATGGATGTGCCCCCCCCCCCCCCCGAAAGACCGCGCCCAATCCGGAGCGTGAGAAACGCGGCATCGCCCATGGTCCATTCGGCTGCCTTTGGCCGGCAGGGCGGTCCACGCTAGTCCACGCAGGCCCACGTGGGCCACGGCCGCCACGCAGCCAGTGGAGCAGTGATTGCCTGCAGACCGAGAGTCGTTTTCTTCGCTCTGTCTCTCTCGCACATGTACGGAACGCCCAGTGAGTGCGACAGAGACAGAGCGATAAAACGCCTCCCGGAATGGGTCGGCTGCTAGCACGGGGCAGAGAGAGAGGCTTCCGGCATTACTTCCGGTCTGCCGTCTGATTCCGAGCACTGCTTTCGTCGCTCTGTCTCTCTCGCACTCATGGGGCGGTCCGTAGGGGTGCGAGAGAGACAGAGCGGCGAAGCAGTGTTCGGAATTAGACGGCTGGGACTCCGGGCGCCCCGGCGGCCCAGCGGCCATTCCGGCAGGGTGGAAGCAAGGGTTGACGAAATGAGCCTGCAATTAGGCATCGTTGCCCTGCAGGCTGATTCCGGGCAATGCTCTCGTCGCTCTGTCTCTCTCGCACTCGTGAGGCGTCCCGTGGGGGCGCAGGCGTGCGAGAGAGAGAGGGAGACACTGAGGGGCAGCGCCGGTAGCGCCGCAGCTCCACTCAAGCAGAAGGGACTAGGGCTGCTGCTGGATCATTTCGCGCGGGCCGACGGTCTCTGTCTCTCTCGCACTCATGGGGCGTGCCGTGGAAGTGCGAGAGAGGCCGACGACCGCTCTGCTGCCGTCTGATTCCGAACACTGCTTCGTCGCTCTGTCTCTCTCGCACCCATACGGACCGCCCCATGAGTGCGAGAGAGACAGAGCGACGAAAGCAGTGCTCGGAATCGGACGGCTGGAGGCAGCGCCCCGGCTTGTCAGACCCGAGGGCGCCAGCTGCAGGCAGATTCCAAGCGGGAGGTTTCTCTCCCTCTCTCTCGCACCCAAGGGGCCGCCCGGCCGTCCAGTGTGGGTGTGAGAGAGACAGAGCGACGGCATCGGCCAGCTGGGCCAGCTGGTGCAGCGGAAGGGCCCACACCGCCAACAAAGTCGCCAAAGCCACTCGAACCGCGCCAAGGCCGCGGCGCTGCCGTCCAGGCGGCCTATTCGCTGTCTCTCTCGCACCCGTACGCGACGCCCCATGAGTGCGAGAGAGGCGGAGTGCCGAAAGCACCACCAGTCAGCCTGCAGATTAGCGCGACGGAAATGCAATCAAGCCGTCGGCAAGCAGAAACGCCCCGCGATTGGCGAACGCCGATAACCGCGAGGTCCTTCGGGCCTCTGAGCAGGAAGGCTGCAGGAAAGTCGCAGCTCCTTTCAGCAGACTGATTCCGAGAGTCGTTTTCGTCGCTCTGCCTCTCTCGCACCAATGCGGGAGGCCCCGCGAGTGCGCGAGAGAGGCAGAGCCCCAGAGCCAGGAGGACGCCTCCAGGCACCTGAGGAAGCCTAGCAAACCACCGAGGAGGTTCTGGACCAACTGACAGCCCTGGCCGCTTGCTCCTCGAACTGGCGCACAGTGGGTCAGAAAAACGTTGGAGCCGGCAAAAATTCTAGACGCGCTTTGAGCTCCAGAGTCGCTAAATGGGTCTCGAACCGAACGTGTGGTGACCCCACCAATGGATTGCTCCCCGAACGAGGAATCCATTGGTGGGGGTCACACGTTAGAGATTCGAGTCCCATTTAGCGAATCTGCAGCTCAAAACGTGTCTAGAATTTTTGCCGCCCCCACCGGTCTTCTGGCCCACTGTGAGGTGGATTCGAGTGGACTTGTCCGTCAGACTGCGGCAGGGCGCCGGCGACCTTGGAGAAGGCCCCGCTCGTCCCCGAGACCGTCGCGTCCCCGAGGACCCGAAGCACGGGCCGGCCAGTGCGGCGGAGCCCGCGCTGCGTTTGCTCATACAAGTCTCGAAAACAAGACGACGTCCGAGCCAACCAGAGGAGGGCCGCAGAATGCCAATGGCCCAGCAGGCTGAGAGTCGCCTCCGACGCTCTGTCTCTCTCGCACTTACGGCACGTCCCGTGCAGGTGCGAGAGAGACAGAGCGACGAAGACGCGTCTCGGAATCAGTCTGCGGCGGCCGGGCCGCGTCACCGCGGCGTCGCGGAGGGCAGAGGGAGCGACGCGGAGGTGACAGGGCCAAGGGGACGGGACACAGAGGGCCAGAAGACCGGTGGAGGCGGCCAAAACTCTCGACGCGTTTTGAGCTCCAGAGTCGCTAAACGGGCCTCGAACCGAACGTGTGACCCCATCAATGGATTCCTCGTTCGGAGAGCAATCCATTGGTGGGGTCACACGTTCGGTTCGAGTCCCATTCAGCGACTATGTAGCTCAAAACGCGTCTAGAGTTTTGGCCGCCTCCACCGGTCTTCTGGCCCACTGCGAGGGGGCGCGCAGAGGATCACGAACAGGACCAAGAGGAAGAGGGTCTTCACCACAGTCGAGATGACAGTGGCGGAGAAAGGGGCGGGAGAGTGAGAGAAGAGGAGGGTCAACGAAGACGTGTGCACCGCGTCCCCTCCTCACTTTCCCGACCACGTTTGACGGGTACCGAAACCGCTGCGTAGCGCTGTAACATGTCCAAGGCGCCAGGGCCATGCCGGGCTGGCGAGCTGGCAGCCAGGCGGGGCTGGCAGCCCGCGGGTCGCATCGTGCGGGTGTAGCGGCGGCGGGGGAACCTCCAGCGCGGCGCACGACGCACGCAGCGAGTGAGGCAGAGCGATCCCAAATAAATTAAGAGCGATCACGCCCGGCCTTGTTTCGCCGATACATCACGTCATCGTCAGCCCTAGCGGCGGCCGCGGCGGCAAGCGGCGGCAAGCGGCGGCAAGCGGCGGCAAGCGGCGGCATGGCGGCCCAGCCAGCGCGAGGAGCGCGGGCCGGTTAGGCCCCACCGCACCGCCACGCCCGCCACGCCCCGCCACACCCCGCCACACCCCGCCACACCCCGCGAGCCGCACCGTGACGAGCCGAGCACGGCAAGGTCGAGTCCGGCCGGGGCCACGGGGCGGCGGGGCTCGGCGGGGCCGAGCCGGGATGCAGGATGGATGAGTCCGCCGCGCTGCCGCGCTGGCTGGCAGCTCGGTCTGCCCGGCGCACCGGCCGGCTCGCCGCCACAGTGCCACGCCCAGTATGAGAAATCCGACGGCCGGGGGATTAGCGAAGCGCCGCGGATGACGAGGACCGCGTCGTGCATTACGTGGAGGCGACAGCGCTCTCTCTGTCTGACGCGAACGGACGCCCCGTGCCCCGTGAGTGCGACAGAGACAGAACTATCCGGCATGAGCGCGGGCGACGGCCGTGGGGCCGCGTGCATCGGGAACCCCCAAGCCGTCCAAGCCGCAGGGGCGCCTGTCTGGGCGCCAGGGTGCGCGTCAGCCGGGCGCCGCGACGCCCCGCCGTGCAGGTGGGCAACAGGTACGGCGGGGCGGGGTGGGGCGGGGCGGGGCGGGGCGGGGCGCGGCGGGGCGGGGCGAGGCGGGTCGTGGCAGGGCAGCGCGCCAGCGAAGGGCCTCCCTCACGCCCCGCACGAAGGGCCCCGAGGGACTACGTGGGACCAGTGAGGGACGCCGGCGCCAAAATTCGGACAGACAATAGCGGCGGGCGACCCTCTCCGGTCCGTCCGCCCGTCACTTGTCACGGGGTGACGCGGGTGTGACGCGGGTGTGACGCGGATGTGACGGCGGAGCGACGCGGAGGTGAGTGCGTGCCGCGGAGGGGAAGGCGGGGACGGCGCGAAGGACGCCACGGCCGTGGTCAATTGATTGGTCCACGGCTGTGCGGCTGTGCGCCAAGGCAGGGCAGGGCGGGGCAAGGCGGGGCAGGGCAGGGCAGGGCAGGGCAGGGCGGGGCAGGGCAGGGCAGGGCAGGGCAGGGCAGGGCAGGGCAGGGCAGGGCAGGGCAGGGCTCGCTCGGAATGGAACTGGCACGACCTCCGTGTCCACGCCAAAGCACCAAAGCGGGTCATGGCGGCGTCAGCGGAAAAACAGGCACAGGAGGGTGACACGAGCAGGGCCCCTCTGGGAGGGGGAGGGGCGGAGGGCGAAGCTAAACACACACTCACACAGGCACTCACACACACAGACACGCCCACTACGTGCCGCCTTCCCTTTCAATTATTGATTTCATTGCTATTTCGCTCGGGCTCCTCGGCCGGCCCCTCG